CCAATAAAACTTCCTGTGATGAGGTAAATATGCTATAGCTGCACTGTCCAAAATGGTAGCCGTTAGCTACATGTGGTTTCTGAGCACTTGAAACATGGCTAGTGAAACTGAGGAACTTAAGTTTTAATTTCAATTATTTTATTTTATTTAAATAGTCACGTGTGGCTAGTGGCCACTATGTTGGACAGTAGCTCTACCTGGCAGTTGTGGCAGAATAGCAGATATTTTTAATTAATAAAAGGAAGCACTATGTAGCAATTATGGATCAATTAAGTCATCTTGGAAAGTGCTTAAGGAAAGAGGAGATAACTTTTTTGGACACAATCGTCCGAGAGATTCCAGCATTAGGATGAGTGGAAAGATGGCCTAAAAAGAATCACATCATTTTATACCTGAAAAAAATTCAAAATCATTATTACATAGAAGAGAAGCTTGGTTTGGAAGTTAGTTAAGTTGCCTGAGGTCAGGGAGTAAATGACAGAATAGGAACTGAATGCCAGCTCTTAAAACACTATGTTTTGTTAATTGTCTTGATTTTGATAATTTCACATATGTATGTATACATAAAATGTCATCAATTGTACACATTGAGTCTTGATGCAGGCTAATTATACTTCAAAAAAGCTATTTTTTAAAAAGCATACTGTACTCACTTCTATATCATTCTATGTCAACTCTTTGGTTCCATCTCATATAAGATTAATTATGAAGTTAAATTAGTTAATATATTTAAAGACTTAGGAGTAAGCACTATAGAAATGTTAACTGCATTATCATTATTAGATACTAGAATTCTGCCCTAGTGACCAGTTTGGAGAACTGTAATGGAAAGAATAGTTAGCACAGATCATACTTCTGGCTCTTGGGCCATGTCTCTGAGTCTCAATTCTTGGTAAATGAGTTAGTTAGCCGGACAAGATAATCTCTAACGGGCCTTTCCAAACTAAAACTTCAGACGTGGACTAGGATAAGAATTGAAAAAATGGAAAAGAAGGATGCGTATGAGCACTCTTAGGGAAAAACTGATAAAATTAAAGAACTGGCCAGATATGCAGAATGATGGAAAACAATGAATCATCTCTGAACACAAAGTTTTGAGCTTTGGATGACTCAAGGTTTAAATGAAAAGAGGAGCATGTTGACCCAACAAAAGTACATTTATTATTTTAACAAATCAGTAGGTACTCCACAGGAATGAATATTCATGACCTTCTGGATCAAAATGTCAACCAGTACATTTAAAACATATGGTAAAACCAAAATTTCTTCTCATGAGATTATGTTAATGTTATGCTAAAATGAAATCCCTATGGATAACTATAATTAGATAATCATATTTAACATATTTAATATTCATTCTAAAGGACCAAATTATAAAAAATATATAGTGCATACATCAGTCACCAAGAGACTAATCTCGAACTCTTTTGATGTAGAAACAATCTAACCTCAGAATCACAGAGATGCTTGTAGATGTCAAAATGGAACGCTCAGACAGAACATTTTAACCTGTTTGCTCTTATACAGTGACTTCTTCATGAGCTTATCTTCAAATAGCTAAAATGCAATATTATCTCTCATGTACTATCTGGAACATTTTCAGTATCAGGTACTATAATAAATGATTATGTGCCCTTAAGCATGGTTTCGTGAGTGTGACATCCAAAAGAGGCCTTATGTTGTGCTGAGGAACACACATTTTAAGATTCCCTTTCTCAGATGTGATCAGTCCAGCAAAGTTATGCTGACGTTCTGATGGGCTCTATGCCACTACATTGTACTGATGCAACATTCCTGGACAAAAAAATAAAGATCACAGTTGTTCATAAAATCCTTGCTATGTTTCACAGACTGACAAAAACAATCCTGCCAACTTTTTGATGATCCTTCAAGGGCAACATTTCAAATATAATATTCTCTCTGGACACAGAACAGTATTTCAGTTATAACTGACTGCTTGGTCAACATTTGGGTCAAATCCCAGAACAAAACATTTTTTTAAATAAAATTGTTTATGAAATGTTGCAGCTTAAGACTATCTGCAGACTTATTTAGACATAGCCAAAATGGACCAATTTATGACTAGATAAAATGAAAAATGTCGTTGATTAGCCTAGAACAGCAACATAAAAAATTCTTAGTTGCAAGGCAAAGCAAATGATATGCTAAAATACACTGCAGGAAGGAATTGAGACCACTTGGGGAATGAGTCACTTAGAGTCATATTTTCCAGATATCTTAGTTAACCCTTTCCTGTCTGGAAACTCAGTTTTATCTCTTATAATAAATTTTCTCTAAAACACACCATTATGGTTCCTAAGTACCTTTTTAAATAGCACATAAGGAAGGTATTTTTTTCTTTTCTTAATAAGTGTCATCACTATGAATAATAGTCACAGAGATGTAGCCATTAATGCAGATATAATTGGTGTAAAGGGAAGAAATGTGACTTTTCTATAGCAACTGCATCAAATTGGATTCCTTAAAAAAAGAACTCTGGTGATGCCTTGTTTTTTGTTCATTTACCAATTTTCCACAAAAGTATAATACAGCATAGGAAACTGTGTAATATCATATGGAGATAATGTAATTATCTTTTCTCAAAATTAAATTTTGGATTAGTGGGCTAAATCCTGATGCCATCCTCCTCCAAATATTTCACTATCCTCTGGAAAAAAAATTACCTTTTTTCCTCATTACTATCAATGACATTCAGCTTATCCTTGGCTTTCAAAAGCTTTACCCAATTTCATGAACTAGAAGCTTATCCCCACTCTTCCTTCTGCTTTGCATTAAGTTTGTTTACAGAATGTTATCTCAATTTCAAAAATATGCAATGGTATGAATGGGAGAAGACTCAGTGTACACATTTTTCATTTTACTAAAAACAGAAAGAAGATAAGACATGTCTGCTAAGTAGAACGTCAGGTCTTAATTTTCTCCAAGTCCCATTTCATATTTCATTTTGAAGAGAATTCTATACCTCGGCAATTCTATTATGAGATGATTCGAAGTCCCATGTGGCGTCTGGGTCAGATCAATTTTCTCATAACTTCTATAATTTTTTTTTTTGAAAAATTCTTGTATGGAAATTAGCTCAGATAAAATTCAATCAAAATGGAGGGCAAATAAAGGGAGTTCTACAACTTCTCTTCTAAAAAGTGCATGTAAAACAGACTCAATAAACATTAGCTATCACTATTCGACAAATACATACAAAATATTTACTATTTTATAGGTACTATGCTAAGTAAAAACAAGTTAAAAAAAAAAGCCCTCGAGGAGCTCATAAGCTAGAGAATTGCTTACAGTTTAAGTAAAAATATAGATGGTTGAGTGGCTAAATTTGCTCATAAAAAAATCTCTGTAATCCAAAAGCATTAGACCAAAGACTTCTGCAGGCAAAAGGATAGCCTGATTTTCGGTTGTCGCTTAAGAAAGATCATTGTATAAAAAAGTAAACTCCTTATATTTAAGAAAACAACTAATCTGCCATTGCATGTCAGGTTTAAATCTCGTGGCAGAATAAAACTTTTTTTAATATACAAAGTTGAAGCTCAGAATAAAAATTTTTTACATATGCAAGTTTGGTCTAAAATGCCCTTGCTTGTTCCACTGCCTTAAGTTACCTAAAATCCTGAACAAATATAAACTAAGTCCTAATATAAGCAATATAAGTGATTCAATTATTATCCTGACTGAATACTTCCCCTACTTTGTCTTTTGAATCATGTACAGATGTATAGACGTTCATTTTATCTAAGATTAGCATATGCTCATGTATTTTTGTCCTACAACAAAATAAAAATTGAGAAATTAGTTTCAACCAATTGCCTATCTTACTAGTATTTATTACTGCACAAATTAATATCCTCTTTGTGTACTCAGACCTACCTTGTTAGTAAACAGATGTACCCTTGAAGGAAACAAGACTTCAGAAAGATACAGGAGCTTCTAACAATTACACAAGCACACACAAAAGAGTTATTTTATGCCCTCATTAATGTGCTACCTTCTTCAAGTACCGATCACTGCTTCTCCACCCAGAGCGATGCTAACCAGCATTCTCCCCAACCCTTACTCATGCATATGCACACATATCCATATTCACTCCATACTCCCGTCACGTGAAAGGAGTGTGGGCTTTGGAATCAGATACACCCAAGGTCAAATCCCTTCTCTGTAATCTAGAAGCTCACTAATGAAGTCCAAGTTCACTTGTATTCAAATATTCCTTCACTATGAGAGAATCTGGTTTTGTTTTGTTTGGCAACTTTCGCCAAGAATAATTGTTCCAAAAGTCCAGGAAAACCAAGTGTCAAAGAACCCAAGATTTTCCCTCTTTCCAAACACTTTCCTAGGGAACACAAGGGGCACCTGCAACAAAGGCAGTGGGGGTGTTTACACAGGGGTCTCATTATAATTACTGGGTAACATTTTCATTTGTACTTAGGTGCTTTCCTATATGTACATTACATATTACAGTAAAAATAATAAAGGAAGATGTAAAAATGTCTCTCTATGATAGATGTATTTTCTACCAAATGTTTAAAAAAATGAAGCCTTCCTTCATGTATTCAATAGGATATAGGATAAATAATTTCCCCTTCTGCGTGGAATTTGGCACAATTTACTCCAGCTCAAGTTAGTTAAGGATTTTTTTTTTTAATAAAGGGAGTTTATACTTTTTCCAATAAGGCTTCTTAGATTAAAATACCTTTAAATAATTTGTAATAAAATCATGGTGACCTGCACAGAACAAATCACTCTTTCTAAGTAGGTAATATAAATGATAGTGATTGCCTTTTTAAAAAACACAAAGATAAAAAGAAATTTCATAATCAGACGTCCTAATAATTTGTGACAGTCTACTTCCAGAAAAAAAGAAACAACCTTAAATAGTCACTATTACCTGTCAAAGAATAAGCGAAAAAGGAATTTTTCAACCAAGAAATTAAAATGGAGGTACATGCCCACGTCAAACAAAATGTACTACTTACCTTGATTGATACAATCTTCCGCAAGAGCAAAAAGCTGTGGTGAGCGTTCTTCAAGCAGCTGTTGATGAATATTCACACATCTCAAAGTCCACCATGGCAAGCTCTAGAAAAAGAAGGCACCGTGTAAGCTGAAATAATAGGACCCTTTGGAAAAAATGTTTTACATTAATTGAAATTAAGTTTTAGAATTTTACATTTGTGAAATTGAACTTATTAGATAAGTTTATCCATTCACTGCTATTTCTTCAGTAATATCCAAAGCCACCTCTATGTCTTCCACAAGAATAACGCCTCTCCTATGTTCTTGCAAAACCTGTTATTTTTAGCCCTTTGGGCTTCCTGATGCCATTTCGAACTTACTGTCTCCTCCTTTAAAATGTCTGCTGTAACCATCCAGCTCTGCTGTGGCACTGTCAGCACCGTAACCCACGTACCAACAGTTCTGGGGGCCTCCCGCGACTGGAGTAACACCTTCCCTTGTCTGCACTTCCAGCATATTATTTGAACCGCCCTTTGCAAACACATTCCACTGTGTTCATGTCTATCATCCCTAGCTTTCGGTGTTGTCTGCGGTCTATACGAGATGAAACATCATGTCTTACTCATGTCTGCATCCTCCTCAAAGCAACATATTTTGCACAAAGTGCAATGTGAGAAATATCTTGGATTCATTTATTCCCCAAACCTGGAAGATCGCTTCCACACATCTGTGAAACCTCTTCCACGATGCCTTCTCCCACTTGTGTGGCACACGCCAGTCTCTTACTTCTGAATTTCTACACTGTTCCTAGAAGTTAGCACTACATTGGATAGTTTTTGTTTTTCACCTGTGTATGTAACTGCCTAGTCCAGATATTTTTTGAACGTAGAGACTGCATTTTATACATTGCCTTAAACTAATGCACAGGCTTAGAACACAGTCACTTTTTCTCCCTTCTCTGATGCTTGTTCTTACTTGATCAACACACCATTATTTAAAAAAAAAAGAAAAACAACAAGCCAATACAGAGGCAAACACAGTGAAGAGTGAACATCTCTCTTCTGCTACCTCAATGCCATCCTCCTTCCCCAAGAAAATCTGTGACAAAGGTTCATATTTTTCTAAATCTTCCTCTATGCATGTGCACGTGCGTACAAGTTATAAGTGTTAAATATTTTTGATAGACTCATTAAAGTATCAAGTATGATCATGCACTAAATCATCTAAATTAATTAAAACTATGTTACTTGGAATTGTATTGCATGAAGGTATGAGAAATTAATTTCCTTGTTTTTTAAAGCGATACCTACTAATAGGAGAGATCATGCTTAATTACCAAAAGTATTATTTTACTTGAACTTAACTTCTGCATTTAACTAAGGGATAAAACTGCCTGGTTCCCTTTTAAACTGCTACACAGCACAACTGTCCCAACAACGATACAATCACAAATGAATTCTGACTTTATAACAAAATCCTCTCTAATGCTGTTTCCTCAATCCATATAAGTAAATGTAGGATTATCTAACAGAAAGAAGCTTCACATCATTTTTAATTTAATTCTCTGAAGTGTTACGTCATTCTTTTCCTATCAGTAAAGCTCATTAAGTCAGTCTACATAGCAATTATCTGTCCCTTATCTGCTGTCAGCAATAAGTGAGTCAGGTTTGGCAGCATATTCTTTCCTTTTCTAGACTTGGGAATTTAGATAGATCCAAAGAGACTGCCCTTTTAAGAAACCTATAACATAAGATGTCAAACTCTTATAAATCAGATCTATAAACTAATTCTTAACCCAAAATCTTTACATAGAAGGAAAAGTACAAAACAAAGTGCAGCCTATTTTCTACTAGAAAATGAAAGCACCTTTTTCTATTTGCCAAGAATTGCTTAATAGCAAATCTGAGGCATTGATATAAAAGGAAACTTTAAGCCTCATTTTAGATAGTTCTAGACCCCATATCCTAATTATAGGACTTATTACATAATGTTCTGATTGAGAAGTCACATTAGTCAATAACCTCCTAGAAGGCACGGAGCATATGTACCCAATAGGCACCCAATAAATGCTTGCTGCCTTATTCCATTTTAGTAATAAGGAAACTGATATTCATAGAAATTAACTAGCATAAGGTCACATAGTTGTTAAGTGGCTGAGCCAGACAAACTGCTCTGATTTCAAAGCCAAGGTTCTTTTCATTCAACATTTACATATTACTAATACTAGATTACATACTTCACAGATGCGGGGGAGGGGCGGGGAATCATCCCATGAAAATAATATTATAATAAACAACTTGATACATTTCTTAGGGGCCAACTTATTCTAAATTAATTTAAAATATTAAAATTAATTTGGATAAGTGTTCTTCTTTATCATTTTATCTTCATTTATCAAAGAAGTCATTTTAACATTATCATTTACAGAATAATATATTCAAGACTAAAAAGGAAAATAACATTAATGTTTCCATTGAAAGGCAAGATTTCAGCACAAAGTGATCTTTGCATAGTGATACACAACAAGCAGGTTTTCAGCTGAAGTCTAAAGTTGTTTAGCATCTACCAAGAATTTCAGATAGCCTGTCCCTCCAACCCTACCAAGTATGACTCCCACAACCAGCAGTTCACCAATTAACTTGTTCTCCTAAATTGTGGATAGTACATGTATTGTTATTCAAATGATGCTCAGCATATTTGCTGATGAAAGTTTCCCACAAACAAAACTTAAAATTCTACCATTCATTCTTAATGATCACTAGTCTCACTAGAAAGAAAATAATGCCATTTAGCAGCCTCAGGCCTTGGTGGTACTTTCTTTAGAGTCAAGTGCTAGTTAGTCTGTAGGACCATTTAACTCAGATCAACTTGAGGAAAGCTTTTTTATTCAAACCAATGTCACTAAAAAATCAAAGATAAGACCTTATATCTGCCAGGACATGTTGAAACTCATCTATTAAAAACTCTTCAAGGGCAACTGTGATTCCAAATAAATCCTGTCTCTCATGAGAGTTGCTGACAGAGACATCACTTGCCTTCTTGCCTCTTCTCTGTCTAAACTTAAATGCTTATGACAGTAAGCCCTCGCATGGTACCAACCAAGACTACATTTGCCCATAGAAATATCGTGTTTCTTAAAATTTTCTAGCCCACACTTAGAAATTGGGAGATTCACATAAAATTTAGATTTACTTTTGGCAGTATAAGGTCTGCATCCCGAAGCTGCAACAATCAGCTACAGCTTGCTTATTCATTAAAAAAGAAGAATCATTAAAAAAAGAATACATTTTGTGACATTTGAAAAGCATATGAAATTAAAATTTCAGTGGCCATAAAAAAAGCTTTATTGGTACAACAGTTACACCCCTTCCTTTGCTTTCACACCACAACGCAAGGCTGAATAGTGAGAGTTGGGTAGTTAGAACAGAGACTGCACAAAGCACAGCTGGCACCTCTATCTCACCTCCAAAGACTTTCTTTGTATCTCTCTTGTGGTTTTTGTCACCTCCTACTGCCTATTAGCTTTCTGTGAGTGTGACTGCTTCTTCTCACTGATTTATATGTGACCTACAGAAACCATGTAACACTCAACAAATGCTCTACTCAATCCAAGCCAAATAACTGAACAAGGTTGGGTGTAAATCAGGAAATAGTGATTAAGATCTACTGCAATAGTGACACCATTCTGACTAGTGCTCATTATCCTTTCATGAAATTCATAAAAGACTATGAAGGATGTTTTTAAACCAATATTTAAGATTCAGAGAATGAACATTTACATACTTCACACATACATACACACATATATACAATCCTATTAAAAAGGCTCAACATAATCTCATTTTATACTAGATGAATATCATGAGGGGAGAAAGTTTTCAGTTATTTTCATCAGATTTTAAAATTAAATACCCAGAATACAACTTAGAGAACAGAGATATTGTCAACATCACACTAAAGTCTGATGGTAATCAGCACAAAAGTCACACCTGGGTATGAATCTTCATGCTCCTTCTCCTCCCTTACCTGAATAGCTGTCAGTTTATGCTTGACATTTGCTAGGATAATTCGTGCTAATAATAGCAGTATAGGCTTCAAGGTCAGGCTGTAGATTGATTCACCATCTTGAATGAGCATACTCAGTACAACTGCATCCAGTTCCTTGACCTGCAAAAAAAAAAAAGCTAAGATGATATAATTTAACAAAATATTAATTTTATGTCTCATTATAATACTTATTGTCCAGTTACTCCAGCTTTGAAACACAGCAACTGGCACTGGGTAGAATTGTAATGTTAGAGCAGCCCTCAGTAATCTATAAATCCAGCCTGCCCCGGCAGACAGCCGCCCATCTGCCTGTACCTGAGGAACAGGGGGCCCAAATGCTAATATTGAAGAGGGATCATGACTTTATAAATTTACTTACAATAAAATATCATCTCAATAAAAAGCATCCCTATGTTAAAGTACTTACATCAAACACTTTCACATATGCTTCACTAGCTAGAAAATGTCATCAAAAAGCATGTCTGCTCCATAATTACTATCAAGACAAACAACAACAAGGTCTTATATATCAAATGCTGGGGAGCCATACAAGCACAGAGCAGAGGGAATGGAAAGCTACAAAAATGGGATGCCTTTGAAAAATCCACTTCTCAACTGAACAGAGATTTTCTATGATGGACAAAGTACCTGTGTTTCTAAAATGTGAACTGCTTCATTTTGACAGCTGCCACAAAATAGACAGCAGAATGCAACCATTAGGTTTTTTTTTAGGAATGCTTAACCATTAGGAATATGGACTCTAATCTCTCAGACACAGGATGGTGTCTTTTTCTGCTTCTTCTTAGCTCGTGGGCATAGATAAATTTTTTAACTGAAGCTTCCATTTCATCAATTATAAAATGAAATAATAGAACCTATACCTCATAGAGTTTTTATAAGGATTAAATTAAACTGAGAAGTGTAACAGTGGAATAAAGATTTAACACGCATGACCATCACCAAGCCGAGAGTAGAATTAAAAAAAAAAAAAATTCAATAATTAAGGAACTATTTTGAAGTGATTACAACTCCCTCAATTTTAGGTCCAAGAAAGTTAAGTGGAGCCCAAAATCACACAGAAGTTAGTGTCTGAACAGAGATTGCAAGCCCAAGTTTTCTGACTCCTAAACCAATGTTCTTCCTACCACCCCACACTGCCTTCCCCAGAGCTCTCTATCCCTCCCTGCTCCTCAGCAAGGCCAGGGCTGTGCTATGCCTTAGGAAGGCCTACGATGGGGCCGGGCTCACTTCCAGCCTTCACTGACACCCGATATTATGCTAACATGGGTAACTGAGATACGGACACTAGAAGAGGTCTCGGTTTGGAGAACCTCATCATGAGCTCAGTGTTGGACACAGTGAGTCAGGTATCTGCTAAGGCCTCCAAACGGAGACGCCAAGTATACAAGTGAGTCCACTGACTTAAGAACTCGAGAGAAGAGCCTACCTAATGCGCCCAAACCAAACCTGCAGCCTCTCTGACGCATCTTGTCAGGTCGATGGCTATAACATTTCCTGAAGTCCACACCAAACTGGTGAAGTACAAGAAGACAGGACATGCCTTTAAGAAAAAGAACCCTTATTCTGATCACGTTGAGAAATATGTGTACCTGTTCTAGCACAAATCTAGATGATTATTTTTAAATGAAATCTCTAAAGGTAAATAACAAACAATTTAGTATGGTAAAAAATAAAAAATTATACAAAGAGATAGCCCATATTACACTACCTGAAAATTATTATTTCTGATAGCCAAAGCCAGGGCTTGGTGACTAAACCTCCTATTCTTCAACTCCAAGTTCTCTGAACATGGTGTTAACAAGGCAAATAATAAACAAATGAGTGACTAAGTGAAGAAACAAGTAAGTAAATTTTCTAGTGTTCCTTTACATCTTCATGAAAAAAAATTAAACGCTTTTCTATCTTTGCTTAAGTAAATCAGCCTCTGCCTACTCCTGTCATATAACACTGATATTCCAACTGAGTTCTAAATGTGCTTCCAGAGGTTTTGGAAATGATCCATTTTAAAAGAGGATTGTTTCTATTTTCAATAAAAACACACAAAGCAAAGGTTAAAACTCCCTGAAGAACAATTCCTCAGTCAAGAGAGCATATGACATATAAAAAACACATATTTAACAGCATAATAGTGAAAAAATTCAACATCTGGGAGCCTAAGATCAACTTCATACAAAACCAGATTACCAGGAGATCACCCTTTACGTGTGAGATGACCTACTGCTCAGACAGGGCCCTTCGGCGCTGTTCCCCTGGGGCTTTTTAGCACAGAGGTCAGAACACAGTGCTAACAATGTCGAGGCCGTAAGTTGGAAGCAGGGAAAATTTGGCTTTGGTGACTATCCTCCATGACCGTAAAGTATATTCACAAATATCTGTGCATCACAGGAACTAAGAAGGATGAATCGGCGCAGAAATGAAAACCAGAAAATACTCCCCAGTTTAAAATATAAAACTTCATCGCCATCTTCCAAATCCTCGGATTGCTGATACAGAGTATAAATTGTATAACCCTGACATTACCGAGGCAAGTGGAACATGCATATTACACCCTAGGGCACAGCAACTCTGCTCACACACATAACTACAGCAGAGCTTCGCCACTCAGTGCTGGGAAGGGTTTACAAGTGTGTTGAAATGATGATCCCCTCAGTCCCCGGGGGAGCCCCACGACAGCCTGGGGGCCAGTAAAACCAACCTCCTCCCTTTAGCACACTGCACCAAACAAATACTATCATTTTTTAAGTACTGTGCTTTGAAACTCTTGCAATTCATTTCCAGAAGATGCGTTCCTAATAGCATTGTACATAATATATTGCAAAACATGGAAACAACCCATATGGCCATCAAGAGTAGAACAGGTATATTAATTGTGGTGTATTTATAGGGCTGGAATACTATACAACAGTAAAAATGAATAATGGTATAATTTCAAAAATATACCACTGAGCAAAGCAAATCACAAAAGAATACACAGTTTGGGGTGGCTCCATAGTGTAGTGGTTAGCACATCTGCTTTACATGCAGAAGGTCCTGGGTTCGCACCCCAGGTGGAGCCACGGACCATACCCCAGGTGAACCAGGCCCCGGGTGCACACCGCGAGCGTGTGGGAGGAGAAGCCCCACCTTCAGAGATCCAGTTCTTATGGGGAACCGGCGACATCCATAGGTCAGGGGTAGAAGGGGATGAGGGAAGGGGGGTAGAATTAAAGAGGGGAGGGAAAAAAGAATACATAGTTTGTTTCACTTATTTAAAGTTAAAAAACTGGCAAAACTAAACCATATGTTGCCTAGAGACACGTACAGAGGTGCTAAAACTGTGGAGAAAAGCAATGGAATCATTCACGGGAGTGGTTCAAGAGAGGGGGCCCGGGGATGCTATCAGGAAGCACACATGTGGGACCTTCTAAGGCAGTATATTTCCCAGGCTTTTCCAAGTCAGAGCACATGTAGAGGATGATGTGATTTGTAGTGCGCACCAGGTAAACAGAGAGGGCTGCTAAAGCAGAAGACACCAGTCTGAAGGCTCTCGCCAGCCCAGGCCCCGCACGGCCACCACAGGGGCAGCGGCACAACATCTGGGAGAGAGTGGTCAGGGCACTCTGTTCTACGAAGCTGAAAACATCTCTCTCTCAAGTGGGATGGTGGGAACAAAGGAATTTATTATTTGAACTGTACATATTTTATGTTTTTTTTTTTAATGTCTGAGGCAGTTCTGTTAAAACTTAAAACCAAGGTCTCAAAGTGTCCTATAATGCAGCCTGACCCCATCGATTCTGACCATTTATTGCTACTCCAACAGACTCAACGCAGCCCTTTCCCATAAACACCACACTCTTCTCCCCTCTAAATTCCTACTCCCATGACTGCACCCAGAATGCATTTCCTGCTCTTCGCTACCCCTCCATTTCCTCATCACCCTGCAGGTCCTGGCTCAAGGTCCACTCCCAGCTAAAAGGTTCACTTTCCTCAGATGTCTTCCTTAATTTCAATATTTTCAATACTTCTTATAGTCTGGATCTCTTATGGAACCCATTTCTGTACTACTTTCAACTGTTACCTGACTTTACAGGTGCTTCTAAACTAGTATAGCAAAAGGACTACTGGATTTCGACCCAGAAATATGGATTCCAATGTTCCAGCTATAAGACCTGTGACAAGTTTCTTTCATCACTTTGAGCTTCAGCCTCTCATCTAGAGAATCCCTCAAATTAATATAACACATGTGGATTAATATATTATAACAAATTAATATAACACATGTATCACTTGAACCACTCATCGGTGCTCAGTAAATATTATAACTTTGACTGGTTGGTGGATTTCTAAGCTACACTATAGGGGCATAGAAGCCAGAAACTGTTTCATACATAATAGGAGAGGGAATGAGATGTTCCGTATAAGTAAATTTCTACATGAATGAAGCGTATCTCTTTAAGTGCCATAATCTTTGGGACTTTATTTTAATCATTTTGGATAAAAATCTTTGTGAAGTGTAGATTAAATTTCCTTCTTAGACATAAAATACAGAAGATCTTTTAACCTGATTTAGGGTCAGCATTATGAACTTTATTCTATTGCAATATAATAAAGTGATTCACTAAACTGATAAACACAGAGCTAATTATTGTGGTTTTCAGATTACAGCTGCTTTGTAACCCTCTTTCCATGCTAACATCAAATTATTAGCACTTATCTGTAAGAACTCCATTCCCCTTTCATTTGCTATTTCTAGTTCTAGGAAACCAGGTAACAGAAAAACAGGCCCCTTTTGCTGTATAAACTTTGGGTGGTAAGGGGCCCTTTTTCCAAGCTGAGTGATTAATAGTTATGCTCAAGATCTCTGAGGTGGCTGGATGAATCAAAGTTACCATACTTCTTTTTCAGAGAATGTCACAGTCACCAAGCCCTATGTATATGTGCTCAAAAACTCCTAAGGAATTCAAACTGCAAGCTCTACTAATGACCCACTAATGCAAGTCAATAATATTATTTTCATATACACATAATAATTGTTATCACCATGGAGACTTCTGTGCCAGGCACTTTAAAAAAGCATTTGTAATATAAAGGAAATCACCCCTGGGAACTATTCTTAAGTAAAGTTGCAAAACTTGCAACAAAATTAAACAGATCTCCAGGTTTGCCATTTTGCCAGAAAAGACCATTATATAACTGTGGTAATATATGCGACTGAATGACTGGTGCGGCTGTGTACTTCAGAAAAAAAGAGCAGCCCACCGAGCTCCATAAAATGGAGATGTCTGAAGGGGCATTTGAGATTGGCAAGGAAACTTCCAGAAATGTTTGAAAATCTGATCAAGGAACAAGCATTCTTAGTAGATTTTCTACAAGCTATAAATTCATGTTTCTTTCTTCCCAACTATTAACTTCAGTTTATAAAGACCAGTTCCTGAAGAATAAATAACACAGTAATGACTATATATGACATTTCCAAGAAGCGTACCTCACTGAATTGCTGGAGCAAAACAGATGGCAAAAAATCCTGAGGGTGTAAATCAACACCAGGCCCCGTCCAGTTACTCTGAACGAAAAGCTGCAAACTGCTCACGCCAATTAGGAATATCAGCTGTTGTCTGCATATAAGAATAGTTAAAGAAATAAATATGAATCACTATCACTGTATAACCACATATTATGTCAATTCAGTTATTAAGAAAAATGTAAGATACCAATCACCATTTCTTGAGATTATCCAAAAGTATTACAAAAAAATTTTTCTGAAACTTAAACAATTTAGGTCTGCAATATCCAATATTATAATCATGAGCCATATATGGCTCTTTTAAATCTAAGTTAATTAAAATTAAACAAAATTTCACATTCAATCCCTCAGTCACACCATCCACATATCAAGTGTCAAGAGCCGAATGTGACTCGTGACTGCCGAACTGGACGATACAGATATAGAACATTTCCATCAACACAGAAAGTTCTCTTAAACAGTGCTAGCTCAGATTCTGATCAGACACTTGTAATTTCTCTTGCATTCTATTTAACAGCTCTGACATTGCCAAAGATGTACGTTAAACTGATTTTATACAAAAGGAAACTGACAACAAAAAGTTGTTTTTAAACAATATTTTACTAATCCTGTATTACCAAGTGCTAGAACAAAAGATTCCTAGAAATTTCACTTGAATCTATTTTTTTTTCAATCCTGCTTTGGCTTAAGACAGGGAGTAGGTAAACTTTTTCTGTAAAGGGACAAATATTAAATATTTTAGGCTTTGCAGGTCACACATATTTCTATATTCCCAAAATGTAAACAGCATTCTTAGCCACTTTGTCCCACCAGCTGTAATTTTCTAACTCTTGGATTAAGAAAAATAGGTGGGGATTCAACTCTAACACATAACAGCCAAAGAATCTTGAAGTTTCATGCCGAACAGAAAGTAAAACTGAACCTAAGACAGTAAAGATGTAATTTTTCTCTATATCTCCTAGACCCTGCCTCAAAAAAAAAGATTCTTTAAGGAAGAAAAAAAAAATCAAACCTACGAGCCTATGATAACCAGAACATAAAGCTCTGGAAGTAGCACAACTGAGAGCAGAGCAAAGAATAGGCTTCACTAAAAAGAATAGGTGACAAAGAGCCTGTTTGTAGTTAGAAATTAGGAAAGTTAGGAAAAACAGGTATGTAGCAAGATCTTAAAAGCTTTAATATAACTACCACAACTAAAAATCAAAATCCTTAAGGTAACTCGCAAATACAATTTCACTTGCAAATTCCTCAAAATGAAGCAACTGTGTGACAAGCTGGAATTCTGCTCTGCCAGTGAATAATGCATTTGTGTGTTTGTGCGTTTTAAAATGTACTACAAAGCTAGTTGTTATGATCACACACACTTCAGACAGCTAAATAAGAATCAGGAATGACACTGCAGGAATGTAAACTACAAGTAAACCAGAAAAATGAAAAGGAATATTATTTTTTAAAATAAAGTGTCTATAGTAACATTCTTTTGTGAACTCCTTATGGATACGAATTGTCTTATTTCTCTTCACAACCTCAACACCTAGTTTAGTTGTTAAAGAACTAAATGAAGACATTCCCTAGAAATAATGGCAAACAAAATTGCACGCATTTTAAAGATAATGAAAAGTTAACATGGATGCTACAGACAGAGGAAAGAAAGAAGTATATTTACAAATTTGCAACAAAAAATATATATAAACCACTAAAAGACACAGTTACACTGCTGAGTAACTATTTTACTTAATCCTATAAAATTACATAAACTTTAATAAAAGAAGGTAAACCAAAGGTCCCATAATAAAACATTAAGTTCTCTGATCACTAGAGAGAAAACAATCTAAATCATAATAAAAGCAGTTACGAGTATTACTCAGCTATCTAGAAATAGCAGATGGAGAGTATATGCTTTCCAGTTAAAAGGAAGTAAGGTCTAAAGTCTTGCCTATCACTAAAAACTATCAGATGTAAGCATTTGGAAACTCAGTGGGTTAGCAGTTACCATCAAATTATATGCCAGTTTCATATGTGAAACTCTGATATCCTACATCACTTTACTTTATCATTCTCATGGGCCTCTGGACAGAAGTTCTTATATAGATTATTTGGTACATTGTAAGTCCTGACTAAATGTAATGACAGGTTTTTCAACAACTGTTCAAATTAGTGCCTTACACTGTCAAGGAACTGTTAAATGTAGTCAGAGTCTGTCTCTCTGTGAAAACTTCAAATAAAATTCTACCTTTCGGTTTTGTCCAAATCTGTTGAGTAATCCAGGAATGTTAATATCTGCTTCTCTAGGTAGCTGTCGATCTTTTCTTCGGTCATCGTCGTTGAATTAAAAATATTTTGAGTCAATGAATTTAAGAATATGGCCTCATAGTTCCCTTCTAACAGCAATTGTAGGAAAGATCCGCTCTCTGTAATATAAAAAATTAGTCCAATAATCCAAAAGAACAATTTTTTATACTATAAAGGATAACACTATTAGGTAAATCTACAATTTAGTATTTTTTAAAAAGTATATACTTATAATGCTTGCTATACATTAACCACAAAGCACTGAACAAATTACCATCATTCTACAAACATCACTTCTAGAATCAGCAGCTCATGATACAGTAAGCAATAAGATAGAATTTAGACCCAGGAATAATATTCCTCACTAGTAAGTATTCTCACCCTTCTGCTGGGAATTCAAGAAGACTCCTACTGACAACAGACAAGTTTCCCTAGTCAAGGTTCTAAGACCTTTCACAGTTTGGCTCCTCCTACCTCCACTATACTCCCTGATGAAAGGCTGGTTCACTCATTGTTCCCCTAATATCCCATACACATTCCTACCTCCACACTTTTACACTTGTGATTTTTCATGCTGAGCTCTTCTGCACTTGTCAATCTTACCCTTTATTCAAAAATCAGCTCAAATCTGACTTTTTCCATGAAACTTTTTCAGACCGCCAGAGTTCAGAAACTACCTCTCCTGCAGCAGCTATTGTACACGTACACGCACACTCGAGCGCACACACAGCACTTGTATACTGTCCTAAATTGTTATTTCTCTTCTGGGTCCAGCCTAAATCCCACAATCAGATATGCTTATATCCCACTAATAACTGTGCTTTAACTCTGTCTCCGTTAAATGTAAATTGCTCGCAAGAATTACATCTTTGCTGCCTCAGTTCAGTCCTGCTGCTTACCAGCTGTATGACCTCAAATAAACTACTTAGCAAATCAATGTCTTCATCTGTAAAATGGGATTAAAAGCTGCATCTACCTTACATGTCCATTACAAGAATTAAACGACCATGTAAATGTTAAGAGCTTAGAAAAGTAACTGATATCGCCATTGTTGTTATTACTGAACCTGGGCAGTGAGAAGTTTGGGGTAAAGTCAGTCAGGAAGCCTGAGGACCACGCCCACAATGTCAAGGATGCAACAACCCAAAGCCTTAAGAAATCGCCAATACTTCGGCAGGAAAAACATTAAACGAGGAGGGATGAGAACCCAGCTGCCGCCACTCCTTCTTCTCACAGTCTGGCCTAAGTCCCTGGCAGGTGCGCCTCTCACCTGAGCCGGCGACTCCGTCCTGCTTCCATTGCTGCCGCTCAGCCTCAGTGGGGAAGCCCCTCAAAATTGCCAGCTCCGGGGTCCACATCATCCCGAACCCTCAGCCAAAACAGGTTCCCAAAAGGGTCACACCAGAGTCAGCAAAAGAAAGTGGAAGGAGGAGGGTCCAAAGACACCAAAGTCTAGTGGCAACAGTTGCTGTGAATACACCCACGACCGTAGAAACCCATGTGCGGATATCGGACCAAGGAGGCCGCCATGACAGCAGCGCTGAGTACCCTGGGAAAAACACACACTGCACTAGCTTCCGCTTAGGAAACCAACCCAAGGCCTTGGTACTGAGCATGCCCAGTGGAGATGTCCTGCCCAGAGCGGAGGAATGGGCGGGGTTGGAGTGCGGCCATCTCAGTTCCGCCACAAGGTGGCGCTGCAGCGAGCTGTAGAAAAATTGTGTGCTGCCCACCGAGGACCCGACTTAGACAGCTGCTCATCGCAGCGGTCTTGCCCAACTGCAGTTCCTTTGGAATATCTACCGCTTTGACTCCTAAACCTTTTCGGGTCACAACTCTCGTGACTACCTGATGAAAGCCGTAGTCCTTCCGGCAGAATGCACGTGGGCCCTTACTACCAACATTTGGGTACCATTTCAGGAAGTTAGAGACCTTCTGCAGTGGAATCCGTGAGCCCCAGGTTAAGAAGAACCCCGGCAGCAGAGAATACGTCTTTATTCTTTAAATAAAATCAAGTGTAAGTAAAGTATCTGGTTTTGCCACTGCCACTGCATAAATCATGACCAAGTGAGACATCTGGCCTGGCCGCTGGTGCAGAGAAATTTTTGGAGGATAGACGGCTGCAGAAACCTGCCACGTTGCGTGCGTGAGCACGGGGCTGGCGCCTTATTCGCAAGTCCTTGAATCTTCATAGCAGCGCTCCTGGGTAGCAGGGCAGGACTCTGCCTCCATGGGCCTGTGAATATGGAGAAAGCTTCAGGGTAACACTTTACCACCCAGGATTCTGGGAGAAATTAGAGCAATAGATCTCTGAAAGTGCTTAGCCCAGGACTCGGCTCCAAGGAGGAAGCTAAACAATTCTTAATTCACTTTCTTCCTAAGTGTTCAGAGCCACTCCAAACTATGGAGGGAAGAGATGCTCACCTCAGCGGCTGCCAGCAGAAGCGAAAGCAAGCCAGACTTGAGCTGTGAGTGAAAAGCAGAGGCCCTAGAATGTCTTCTCATTGAGACGTAGTGAAAAGCTATTTGTACAGGGAATGATATTTGATCGATGTGCCCATTTGTTTTTTTTAGCAAAAAATTCGCACTGTGGAAACTATTTGACAGCTATTAAAGATCAGCAGTTGTAGAAACGCACTGAACACTCACCGCTACACCAAGTTCCTCAATCACAGGTTGAGCCCCACTGACCCATACAGTGAACTTGGTGCTTTCCTTATAATTCAAATTTTGTTTGTTTTAAATGTGGTATGCTATCAATGAGAGTGATTAAGTCCATTAATTTCCCTTCAGGCAAAATTAACTCCAGTAATAAAACGGGGAGAGAAAAATATGCTCTTGATTGAAAAAAAAAATTACCAAGTGAAAACTGAGCTAGTGAGTGGGAAATGTCCACGTTAAGATCAGTGTAGAGTGCCTTGGCTGGGTTGTCTATTGGGAATACTAATGCCAAATGAAATAAGCCAGAATAAAAGGAGAACATACTGGATGATTCCATTTATATAAATCTAGAAAATACAAACTAATCTATAATGACAGAAAGCAGATCAGTGGTTGCTTGGGGGTGAGAAGATGGGGAGGAAAGCAGAGAGGGATTACAGAGAGGAAGAAGGACACTGGAGAGTGATGGATATGTTTACTATCTTATTGTGCTGGTGGTTTCATGGGAAAATACATGTGAAAAAAACCATCAAACTGTACAGTTAAAATAAGTACATTTTATTCTATGTTAATTATACCTCAATGACACTGGATTTTTTGGGGAGGTGAGGGGAGAAACTTTGTTGTATAAGGCTTAAAATCTGATCTCCCAAGACTAGCGTTCTCCAAAAGCCTTCTCCTGACATAGAATTTTTTCTTCTCATCCACCGCTGGTCCTCTGACCTTTTCAAATGCTGTCACTCACAACAATACCCCCACAACCACCACTAACCTTCACAGAGTTAGTTAGCCCTTTGTCCTATAGCAAACAAATGAACATGGATTGAGGCATAAAGATAAACCAGGAATGGCACTGAACAGTTAAATATCTCATGTAACTCTTATGATAATTCTGATTATTAAGCCAAATTTTCAGGTAAGTAAACTGAGAAATAAATACCTTACCCAAGATTACGCTAGAATTTGAAACTAGCCTGTCCCCTGAAGCTCCGTGCTCTACTTCTGGGGAGCAAAGATGGATGAGAAGTATGTGACTGGTATGTAGGACAGGACAAGTAGGCAAATAAGTTAAATAACCCCCCTAGTGAACATGCTGGAAACAGCTCTGGAGCCAGGATAGGTGCAAATGCTGGAAATTCCTAAAAGCAAGGACTGGAGAAACAGAGAAAAGAAAGGATGCATTTGGTTGAAGTAGGAATGAATGTTAGTATAAGGCAAGTCAATCTGGGGACAGAACAAGATAGCTGCTCTCCTCAACGAAAAGCAACTAGACCCTATTGATTTTCCCCCTAGGTTTACTTTGTCCTTGGGGCTCTTGGAATTTGACTAATCATTAGCAAGCTTCCCTGAAGGGTGTTGGTGCTTCTCCCACAAAGCAAAACAATTCCCTTCTCTTTGGTAGGTCTTAATTCAGCTGAAAAAGGATGAGGCTTTCCACAAGACTTCACTAGATGCAATGTGGGTACAAAGGAGACAAAAACAGATACAGGAACAATGCCAGTCAGGCTCACAGTCTAGGCTTGATCCAACCTGCCCTACTTAGGGCAGTGCCATCCTTCCCTCGACTCTAGGACTCTCTTCTGGATGTTTTAGAACCTGCCCCGGGTACTGTTCACATATCACATATCACATATCACAAACACAAAATAAATCACAGACTACTAGGGGTTCTTGTCACTCAAGATCTAAGGATACAGGGTGACCTTGAGCAGTTGCTCTCTTGATTTACAGCATTCAGGCTTCAGAGAAAAGGCATCTCCACATCTTATCTATGCCCTTGAAACCAAAAGCTCCTGAGTCAAAACACTGTAAAGGTTTGTGGGTTGTGTGCCAGCAATGCAGGAAACAGGCACTGATGAATTAAAATACAGGGAGATTTGAGTTGCAGAAGTTGCCTCTTGGCGTGAATGCAACAGAGGTATACACCATTTGGCCATCTGACCTATGTCTTCTATAAGATCATTAGACCTTTTGTTTAGGAGGTATATTATTTGATAAATATTTGTGCCATACCCTAGCTTGTATTAGTTGTCTATTTCTGTATAACAAATCACCACGAAACATAGCAGTTTCAAACAATAAACACTGATTATTTCATAACCTGAGGCCCAGGAATCTGGATGCAGCTTGGCTGTGTGCCTCAGGCTCAAGGGCTCTCACAGAGGCGATGACGTACAAGGTTCAACTAGGAGAGGACCTCCCTGCAAGCTTATCATGCAGCAGGCCTTAGGTTCCCACTGACCGTTCCCTTCCACATGGCCTCTCTGTTGGGAAGCTCACATGGCAGAGGGCTTCTCTCAGAGGGAGACTCAATGCAAAGACTGCAAGCTTTGTGTAGCCTGATCTGTAAGTGCAGTCCATGCGTGAGGGGAGGGCGGCCGGTGTCGCCGGGCCCACCTTAGAGCTGCCAACCACACTGCTCATTGTCCTTTGCTTTGCTTTTCCTGTTTGTCTATATGCACGTTTTTGTTTTGTCCGGAATTGTCTTTTTCTGTAGAATGTATGAGAGTGTTCCATAGGAAATGTATGGAAACACAGGCCCTTAAGTCCCCAAACCAATCCAATCCAGCCATGAGGTTAGATTGATAACCGATTTGTGTAAAAACAATTAGTCACTTTGCCTTGGTCCTCTGTAAAACCTTCATGAGGGCACTCCCTGCCTTGTCAATTTATGAAAGATCGTTTTGTTTAATCTGAATTCTAGGCTCAATGATTGTTGGGGTCATTGGTCATACAGTCCATCACTGTCTGTCTTCCACTCAGTTGGGGAATTTGAGATACTGTTACGAAGCATATACTGTTAACCAATCGTACTGGCCTCCTTCTTTGATGTTACAGCTTTATCTACATCAACTTCTACCCTTCTACCTTTTATATAAAGACACGCCATAATCCTAACTCTTGAACTTTCCTTGGTCAATGGAAAAATTAAACAAAGAAAGAAACGTTTAAAAAAAACTTAGAATAGTGGACATCATGGGAAGCTTTTGAAATGTCAGGGAAAAAATGTTTCAGAGACATTCTAAAAGAGATTAGGATACAAAACACGCAAAATACAACTCAGCTTCAAATGGAAAAGTGAAGCCTCAAAAAAAACTGTCATTAAGGTAGTCAACAAACTTTGTAACTTTCTGAATCCCATCCTCGAGTTCCTCGTTTTAGCTTTATCTGAGTTTCCAACTGAGCTCTTTTCACACACACATGCATACACTCTAGTAGATCATCCAGTTCTGTAAATGGCAGGGATAATAAATGAAGAGTTGAAAAATACAGGCATCGATGCTGACAAACTACAAAGCCTGTGAAACTCAAGGTTCAGGGCCCCTTCCAAGGCTCTGGGAAGCATCCTGACAATGTAGTCTCCTGAACATAAGGTTCTGTAAAATTTGCAAAAGAAACAGGAAGTGGATTAATGATTGCTTAGAGCTGGTGGAGGGACAAGGGGAGAGGGGAGTGATAGCTAAAACTTGGGATTTCATCTTGAGGTGATGAAAATGTTCTAAAATTGACTGTGGTGATGGTTACACATATCTGTGAATAAATAAAAAAAACATTGAATTGTACACTTCAAATGGGACAATTGTATGGTATATGACATAGATCCTAGTAAAACTTTTTTTAAAAGATATTTTCATGTCAATCAGTTAAGTCTACTTCTCCAATCAGCTGATATTGTAGTGGCTGTGGTAATTTGGGGAATGCAGAAAGTTGAGTCGAGGATATATGTAACTTTGCTTTAGTGACATAGGTTTATGTGGTTTGCAGTCATTTCTACAAATAATTAAGGTACTGCTAAACATGCTAGTGTAGGAATGGCTTCCAGGAATGCTCCCACAGCCATCTGTGCTGACCTGTTATGAAACAAAAATGCAGGCTAGAGGTTTGGGAATGAAATAAATAAATGAGTCCCATGGTGCTCTACACCAGAGGTAGGTGGGGAATAGGAG